TTTCTGAAGAGCCTGATTCTGTTGACATGGAGAATTTTTTCTCATAAAGAAAAAACAGCCTCTACATGCAAATGGGAAATGGAGATGGAGTGGGAAATAAGCCCAGCAAAAAATCATGGAAGTTTTTGCTGCCTGCAAGTGGAATTCAACTAAAAAGGGGGGGAGGGAGAAGAAAGGAAATTGAAACAGCCTCCTCTCTGCACAGATTGCATTGCTGGAGAAGCTCTGAGTGTTGCAAGGCGTAATAGCTGTCTGCTCAGAGGTTCCTTCCCGGGGGACTTTCCCTGGGATAGTTTCATACATTTATCCCTGACTCCTGGCATCTGCATAACACGCTCACAGAGAGAGTTATTAGTTTAATTTTCTTGTGAATTACAATGGAGACAGAGAGAATTAGAAAATACTTTTTTTTTTTTTATTATCATTACTTTTTGTTTTCCAGTTGAGAGACTGTAAATGAGGCTATTCATCCTGCTAACATCAGTAGGGACCCAAACCCAAGTCTTTCTGGGGTAATTGGTTTCTGATGAGCAATCACTTGTAAAACCAATAGCAAAGGCAAGAACTGAAATATAAATTCTCTCTTTACATGCTGAGCTTTTCATTAGGATTGTATGTCTGGCTTCTTCCTGGGATTCAGTGGAAAAGCCATGAAGTGGTAAACAAGGCAGTGGACTAAGCCTGATAAGAAGTTTGTATTAGCAAAAAAAACTGGGAAAGCAGCATTGTCTGATATTCTCCACAGCAAATAAAGCAGCAGCAGAATCCCTCAAGCTGCAGCTTTCTGGTGAGCCCTTTGTAAATGAAGTCCTGGACAGAGACAAGAGACAGCAGATCTTCTGGTGGGGCAGACCTGAGTATGCTTTTGTCCAAAAGAGACCAAAATGTTGAGGAAAGAAAAAAAAAAAATTAAAATATTAAATACCAAGGACAGTTTTCCATGCTGCAAGTCTGACTAGGGTGGCTGATGGAAATTTGCAGCCCCTGACATCCTGCATTTGCAAAATACAGGCAACAGTAATGCCTGGATTTGTTGCAAGGGCTGAGTCTGTGAGCCAGGCTCCAGGTTTTTTTTCCTTTCCTCCCAGTTACTAGTGAGGAATCTGCTAATCTGCACTGGCTTTTGTTTCCCTGATGAACCTCAGGGTGCTTAAGGCTTGATTTATTTATTTATTTTGGTGGCAAATTAAGCATCAGTCTGGATGCAGCTCTCAGTGCTTTCTAGGCTGGGGCTGTGGTGCTGTCATTCATTGGCTTAACTGGATTGCTTGCTGCTTTATGGGTTTTTTCCAGTAAAATCTTTTGGCACACATACAGCTGGTTGTTGCCTTAAAGATGAGCAGAGAGCAGCAGGCTTGACAAAGACAGGGAACATTTTTAAGCTCACGTACACAAAAAGACCTCTGAAACAAGAATGATGCGGACACATCTCCATCAAAACAAACCAAGCAAAACCCTTCAAATAAATCCTTTTTTTTTCAGCTTTCAAATGCTGAAAGCTGATCCCAAGGAAACAAACAGTAAAATCACTGATTGGATTCAGTCCTGAGGAACCTGCTGTGAACAGAGGAAAGGGACACAACATGACACACCAAGTGTTGCCCAGAGCTCTCTTCTAAACACAACTGCTCTGGGATTCTGTGCTGACAGTTTTTTGCTTTCATTAACTCAAAAGAGCCAAACACATTGCTGTGACCACAGCAAGAAATGAGGCAATTTGGACACTTCCACATATGCATCACATTTGTGTACAACACGTAGCTCAGGGCAATATTTCACAGAGATATCAAGAAAACCTTTTTTTGTTTGTCTCATTTGGAGCCAGGCTTCCCAGGAATCTCCCAAAGCCTGGATGTGCCCTGCACCAATCATGCCTCCTATTAGTTGCACACCCATCAGGCTCTACTGACCCAAATTTTTGGCCTCCCACCTCAAATATAGGGCAACGTTGTAATTTTGGTATTGCTTGAGCAGAAGGAAGTGTCTCTGTGACACTGCCAGGATCATTCATCCGAGTTTAAACACTGGAAATATTGGGAATATAAGGGAGAGGAGAGGAGAGGAGAGGAGAGGAGAGGAGAGGAGAGGAGAGGAGTTTAGCTAAGACTGTAGTGTCATTTAAGACATGTGGAAGAGGGCCAACTGGTCATAGCAATTTTCTGAACTGCCCAAGCCTCTGCAATCACTTATAATTCAACCATTTCTATCTAGAATATAGACAGAGGTTTGTACCAGATTTGTACCTTAGAGAAAACTTCAATGTCTTCCTGTCAAACTGTACAAGGACAACCTGCAGAGCCTGGCCCTGCATCACTACCTGTGCCTGTTTAGAAATCTGTACAGGTAGCAGCAGTCTGCAGACAATGAACATTTTTTCCTACTTGGAATAACTGCTGCAGGAGCCCCAGTTCCCCACCCCTTTCTCTCTTCCCCAAACATTTCCACGTGTCCTTTCTCTGGTGACAGCTGAAGTTCCAGGAAGATAAACTTGCAGGAGAGACCTGCAAGTCTCTTTGATCTTTCAGAGGATGATTCCATTTGGATGTCTTTATGGATGTTTCTTCCCTCCAAGTGATGAATAGTACAGCTGAGCCTTTCCTTCACAAGGCAATTGTGATGGGAACAAAGGGGGAAAATGTAGGAAGTGAATCCTTACAATTTCAGTTTGGTTTGTTACAAGGTTCTCATTGCAACACACTTATTTTGGTTGTGCTTGTATTTCCCTTTTCTTGAGTTTATTAATGAGAAGGACTAGAAATAAGCAAAACAACATCAGATCACATCATTACATCATTCCCTTAAAATATGTGTGTGACTGAAGAAGATTTACTTACTGTGGTGACAATTTGTCAGTGACAGAAAGTGGTGAGTGATTGAAGAACATTGATCAATCCAGAAAAAGATTTGTTGCTGTTGCAGGTTTTCCTCATTCTTTGCTTTATTCTGGGACCTAGGAAAACTCATGGAGGATGTAAGCATTTGGAAGGCCTGTGAAGGAAAAAGGAGATGGCTTTCAGGACCTGCACAGCTGGTATACAGCAAAGGGAAAGAACTACGGGTACAGATTTGTCTAATTTAACCAACTCTAAGAATTTCTGCCATTGGATAATATTTGCAGTTGTTATTGCAAAAAACAAGGAAGAAGGATGGTCAAAGCATTAAAAACTGGATTTAAAGATACTATCTGACCAGGAAACCTGTACCAGTGTTGGAATTTTCCTGCACTTCCCTTCTGGTGGACATTTCAGGCAATCTGAGGTATTAGGGGAACCTCTGGATAAGAAATGAAATTGCTGTGGGTTCTGGGTACAAGGTATTAGAGGGATTCTGCCTGAAACTGCAAAGAGCTCAGTCTCTGCCAGCCCACAACCCCCCTTTGCATCCCCTCCTCTGGCCATCTTAACAACCCCCTCAGCTTTTATACCCTGATTTCCCTTTCCATCATTTCATGCCACTCTTCCCTCTTGCTGTAAAGCAAGGAGGAAGGAACTATTTCTCCTGCAACCACATCATTCTCTGACTTTATTTACAGAGGCTGAAATGAAGAAAACTCCCCCCCTGCACTAAATCTGTTTGGCTTGGTGAAGGCAAGGAAGTGGAATTATATTGCAAATGTCAAGGGCTATGAAAAATGTAACAGACTTTAATATTCTTCTGCTGTTATTGCTGAGAGTGTCTCTCACCTGCATTCACAGAAAGTGAAGTGCCTTTTACCACTGAGCAGAAATGATTGCCTATTTTTATTTTAAAGCTACACTGTGACATGTGTCCTAATAATAAATGCATTTTCCCTCCAAACTCTCCTTTCAGCAATTAACCTTCAGCCTCAATACTTAATTTTAGCCTTGAGCCTTTAGGGTTAATCCCTGCCTCAGGCTCCAATAAACTCCAGCCTCAAATATCCTGTTACCTATGTCTTAAAAGTGGTTCCTGCATTCCTAATTACAATCACAGCCCCTACCTTCCTGGGTACCTGATGGTAGCTGGTGCTGAGCCCGGCACTTGGATGCTGCTTTGAAGATGTAAAACATTAACTGTGCCTCTCTCCATAGCTCACTTTCCCGTGGGGCTGTGTTTCAAGGTAAGTGGTTTGCATAAGGTCCCTCAGAGACCTGCATTTAGTTTATTCAGTAGGATAAACAACCTGCTGCTTTTGTGCTTCTCCCTACAGAGCAAAGAAAAGCCCACTTTATACATTAAAATTGAACACAGCATTGCTGAAAGGCCTGTGATGGCTTTTTCTGGAGCTCGGAGCATTTTATCTTGTTTCAGGAGGGGTCTCACAGGGCATAAGCACTGTGTATCTCCTTGTATATCCCCCTCCTTAAATTACAAATACTCCTCTCTTAAAACCCTGTGTTCGTGAGGGAGAAGAGGTTACCGGCCCTCAGCTCTGCCTGTCTCACTGCCCGGGCTGCCCAGGGCTGGGGGAGCTCGTGTCGAGCGTTTTTTCATGATGATGTTTTAATTTCACCTGGATACAGCAACCCCCGCAGCTCCGGGAGGGGGAACCTGGCTCCTCGCGGCCCAGTTAGCACAACCCTTGGAATTAAAGGGCGTAAGTGCCTGATGTTTTACCGGGAATCACGACAGGTGCCAGACACTGGCAAGCCGGGCACCATCAGCACCGGAGGGTCCGGTCCGTGCAGTGCCGGGGGGAAGCGGGGCGGCCCCGGCAGCAGAAGCCGCGGTTCTCCCGGGGCTGGGAGGGCCGAACCAAGGCTGGCATCAGGCCTCGTTTAGTTATCAGACACTTACACCCTGAATTAGGACGGGGGCACACACACAAGGATGTCACCCTTTCCCTCCTTGTGGGGTCGGTGCTGGTAAGGCACAAAGAGGAACGGTGGAAGATAAACGAACAGCTCCCCCCCGCCGGGATTTGAGCAATCAGGAAATATAATCTGAGCTGGAAAGTGCCCGAGCATCTGTTGGGTTATTAATAAATTGTATGCAATCTGTCCGGGATGAAGCTCGGGACGGAGGGGAACCATCTGCTCCCGAGAGGCAGCTCTAATGGTGTCTGGGGAATGAACTTCGCAAATGGAGAGCGATGGAATCGCCGGGCTCCCGGAGTGCCCGGTACCCCCGCGGCTTTTCCAGGGACGGACAACGCGGAGCTTCCCTCGCCCCTGGGACAGGATCTGCATGGATCCGCAAAGAACGGGAATTCAGGCCCAGGGTGGGTGTTCATCATCATCTCTGCAAGCCTCGTAGGCTCGGAGAGCCCCTGGGAACGCAGGTTCTTTACCGGGATCCTTTCCAAAGGGTCCTGCCCCAGAGAAACCCCGCTCCCAGGGGCTGTCATGTGTCCCCAGCTCTGGGCGGGATCCCCGACCTCGCCCGCTTTTCCTGTGGGTCAGTGCTAACTGGCGCCCATACATACTGTTCGTCTTATCCTCCGCCTGTAAGGGTGCCTCGTGTGTTTTCTCGGGGGATTTTCAGCTCAGCTCCTCCCCGCGCTGAGCAGCGAAGGAGCGGGCAGGGCAGAACGCCTTCAGCCCACGGCCAGGGCTCGGTGCCGGCTGCCTCCCGGGAGAACGGGGACTCCCTGCGCCACTGCCAGTGTCTGGGTGGCACTTATGTTAACTGAGCAAGGCTGGGAGCGCGGAGCGCTTATCGCATCAGCTCTTATCGCGGAATAAGCAACCAAAATGTTTCTTGCTGAAGGACATCTCCGCCTGCCCGCAGAGAATCCAGGAGCGGCCAGCAGGCAGGCACCATGTCCTTACAACCCCTAACACGTGAGAAAATCCCGGCTTCCATAAACCCCACACAGCGGAACTCCGGCCGAAACGAAGGGCGCTTGAGGACGACACCTCGGGCAACAGGAGAAACAGCGAGGGAAGAGCCGCTGCCAGCGGGGTCAGCCCGCGGGGGATGAGCGAGAGCCCGGACCCGCTCGGGACACGGCTGCGCCTCTCGGCGGCGATGCCGATCCCGGAGCTGCCGCCGCCGCCCGGTCGGAACGGAAGGCTTCGGAACGGGAGCTTCCGGCGGGGCGGGGCGGACGAGGGCGGCGGAGGGAGGCGGAGGGAAGCGGGGTCCGTCCTCCGGGAAGCTCCGTGCGCGCCCGGGAGGGACGCACTGCCTGGGGAGTGGCTTGGCAGTGGCTGCTAGTGTTTTATTATTATTAGATTTTATTTTAATTTTTTGGGTATATTTTATTAACGCGCTTTCCGACTGGTGCCGCTCTTCTCTTCCTGCGGATTGAGGCGTGGAAACCCGGCCGAGCCGGGAGCTGGGCCTCTGCAGGGGGAATGAAGGAGCTGACAAGGCGCTGGGTGCCCGGGAGAGCGGGACAGCTCAGGGCCGACCGCGGGTCCGGTCACCGGCATCGCCTCCCGAAGAAGGTCGGGACTTCAGCTGTGCCAGGTCCCGAAGACAAAGGGGGAAGGGGACGGGTTTGTTGTCCGTGCCTCGCTCTCTGAGCCTGACCCCTTCTGTTCGGTGACCGCTGCAGGTGATGAAGCGAGGACTAAACGCCGCGGCGTGGGTGCTCCAGCCGCTGAGCCACCGCGGCATCTCCTTCCTCGTCCCTCACCGGCATTGTCCAGGGAGAAATGCCTCGATGGAAGACCGATGGGACCCTATGAGCAGTCCTTGTCTCGGTGCTTAGGGTACTCTTGAATGGTAGAAGAGCTTTCGGCCTCAGGAGGCTTTGAAACCGGACCCGGCTTTTCTGTGCGGTGCTCTAAGCGCTAAACTGCGCCAAAGAGGTGAGAACGACACAAAGACAAATCCCACCGTGCGAGTTCGGGACTTTGTTGTTCTGGAGGGAACGGGCTTTTCTTTCCTCGATGCTCGTCGGCAGAGACAGTCGCCCTGAGGCGATGTGGAGCTGCTGTGCGGTACTTTGCATTTTGGGATGGTGGGGCTGGAAGAGTCCTGTATGACGGGAGCGATTCTGTCCGAGCTGCTGCTTTTCCTTCTCATGCCAATTCTTCATGTCTTGTCTCCAAGTGTAATTGGAGTAATGATCTAATTTCAGCGTGGGTCTAAATAGAGCATTCCAAACACCCCTGGAAATGTCCGTGTGTCTCTCCACTCTCTACAGAGCAATAGGAGATTAACCTTTTGACTTGTGTTTGCCACTGGGCTGTGCTTGCTTTTCTAAGAGTCCAGCGGTCAGTCCGTGAGCTCTGATGGATGCTCTGAACTTGGGATGTCGAAACACCCAAGGTTATTATTTTTCAGGAATTTAATCCGTTCCTGCCTAATGAAGGGGGTTCAAAGTAATGCTCAGGCACTTGATGGGCTTTCAGGGTGTTAAGATGACTCGTTTATACTGATTTTTTTCTACAGATCCTCGCTGTGGATCACCACTCCTCACGTCTCGCTGCTTAGTCAGAAGTGCTGGGAATGCTCTGAGGCTGACCAAAGCTGAAATAGCTAAACCAAGCCTTCCACCAAGTCGTGTGTGCTTTCTGCAGGATCATTTCAGCTTTTTCTTATGACCTTTATGGGTTCCTCTTATAGGTGTAGGTGGTATAAAAGGAACTTAGTTGTGCATCTGTGGTAGCAATGCAATGCTACAATGACTAAGGAGTCGCCAATGCCATCCCCTACCCCACTGCTACTCAGGTAGTAGCTGGATTTCATCAGTGTGAGAATTCCGCATGGACTGGATCTGAATAAGCAAGAAACAACTCTTCCTGTAGGTGATCCTGGAGTCTTTGGCTCTGTCTTCGTGTTTAGAAACGTTTTTATTTCTAGCTAAGCTCAGATATTTGGCGTTGTGGAACCATTTAGTGAAGCTGCTACTTGGTGGGTGTGAAAATTATACATACAGGTGTTCAGACCAAAATAAAATGAACACCGTGTCCTGTGTTCTCGACGTCAGTGCTTGTCACCTCATTAACAGCTGTTTTACTGATTTAAGACATCCGACTACATTTTGCATACAGCAATCCTAACTTAGTACGGCTCTTAAGATACTCGTAGATCGAGTTTGCTGACATCAGCATTACATTTTCACCTCCGTGAACACGGCATGAAATATTTCTCCAGAGAAGACCTACTTATTCCAGGTAAGTGAATTAATTTAGCAAACAGAAACAGGTAAGTGGGGGGGAAAAAAACCCAATCAACTGAAACAAACTCACCACGGAAATAAAAACAAAACCAACTGAACAAACAAAAACCCAAAACCAACCCAAAATATAGCCAAACTAAAAACCCAAACAAACGAAGAAAACCCAAGCCAAAAGCCAAAATCTGTCCTGCTTAAATACCTCTTGTCCTGGATTCACATGGAGCAAACATGATTGATTGGTTGATAGAAGATCATCCCCAGCATCTCTTCCCATCCATGAGTCAAGACAGTGATCTCTTCCCAAACGACTATATTTCCTTTAGCTGCAGAAATTAAAACAAACTGCCAGAAAACTCCAGGAAACTCACGAGTTCGTGAGCATGTCTCCAGATCAACCTGACAAGAATTGTGCTGTGCAGAATTTTCTCGCCAGTCCTCTGTTACGAAAAAGATCAATTCTATTGCCTGTACCTGGAAAAAGTTAACAAATGCTGTTCTGCTTGATAGAATGGATTTGCCTGTGTCTGTTTACCTGTGGTCTATGGTAAGGAGAGTGTGAATCGGCAAACCTGATCCAAGGAAGAGAAGGACAAAACCCTTGTGGATGTTAGGAATGAGAAAAGGACGTGCTAATGAGTTTAATCAACCCCAGTCCTCGGCAACAGCAGTGCCTGCCAGAGGCTCCTTTTGCTGTTTACCGTGGGCTGCTCCACGCGAGAGGAGCGCTGGAGGGGAGGACCACTCTTTATCTTCAAAGCCTAGTTCCACCAGGATTTGGCATATGAAACATAAACTGTCTGAATGTCTTCCTCGGGGAGAAAACCCTGTTGCTGGTTGTGATACGAAAATGCAGGTAAGTTACAAAGACACAGTAGGAAGAATTCGTCTTTGCATTGATGGCATAAGCCAGACAAAAATGGCATCAGGGATGGATCTGGAATGAAGACATCATTTATACCCACAGAAAACCTTCATCAAAAGTTTTCCATATGAACGGGCGGCACAGATCAATAAAGCAGGAGCACAAACAGGTCAGTAACACAATCGTATTTAATAATGTTTTGAACCGTGGTTTGTGTACAGAAGCTACAGAGGTGGCAGCAGAAGTTATTCTTGTCCTTGGTGCTCCTTAGGGAGGTTCTGTGGCTGCGGGGCCGCTGCCTGCGGGGCCCTGGGGCAGGTGGTGAATGTGAACGAGGGCAGGTGAATGCGGACGAGGGCAGAACGAGAGCATCTGAACGATTTTGCCCTGAAGCTTCAAATAGTGGTAGAAAATCTTCCCACAGCCACGGAATCGGCTTAGCCAGGATGGAGAAAGGGAGACTGTACATTCTTTTCTTTTCTTTTCTTTTCTTTTCTTTTCTTTTCTTTTCTTTTCTTTTCTTTTCTTTTCTTTTCTTTTCTTTTCTTTTCTTTTCTTTTCTTTTCTTTTCTTTTCTTTTCTTTTCTTTTCTTTTCTTTTCTTTTCTTTTCTTTTCTTTTCTTTTCTTTTCTTTTCTTTTCTCCCTCATTAATGAGGAATGTTGTGGTGGGGCAGTGTCTGTGTACTGTGGCAGTGACCCTTTCCTATGAGTGGCACGGAGTAGGGATTGGGGATTTATCATAGGGAAGTTGAATTTGAGTAGGGAAGAGTCTTTCTTGATGGAAGATGCTTTGTAGCACGTGGGCTGTGTCATTGGTGACAAACTGCAGAATATCTGCCTAGCTGGGGATCTCTGCCCCTGCATGGAGATGTTCTTGCTCTATCCTGGCAGAGCTTGTCTGCTGGAACGGAGAAGCAAGAGCTTGCCATTCATCGTGCAGGTGGAAAAGAAGGCTTCGAGAGCAGCTCTTCATCGAGCTGTATGAATAGCGTGCAGGAGCTGTGCTGGTCCCATGTTTTTTCAATATTCTTGGAGGACTGGTGTGCTGGGCTCTGATGGGTTTGAATTTCCGAAGGAAAGATTCAAACAATCCCCTGGGTTTTTGGTGTAATTGTAAGCCTTTTACGCAGATGTCGAAATATCTGGGGCTTGGACTGCTCTGTCAGAGTGAGGTGGATTCTCTTCATTGAGATAACGGGTTCAGGAGTGTGTCCGTCTTCCAAAAGGGGAGGGAAGCGATGGGGAAGGGACAGTCTGTCTGTCTTGCATAAATTACAGAAAAGCAGGAAGTTTGTTTCTCATCTGGAGATATGAAAGTCGGCAGGAAAAAGGAAGGGCAGCTCTTGCCAAAAGACAAGTCCACACTCCATGCCGAGAGTGATGTAATCATAAAAACTGAGTTTGTTAAAGACACAATCAAGAGGCAAAATAGAAGAGAAGGAATCAGGGGGAACAGAAGACTATAAGAAAGAAAAGAAGGAGGAAACAATGCAGAAATAAAGGCGAAGTGGAAAAAGATGAAGAAATAAATGGAAAGAGAAAGAATTGAAGAAACCATAAACTATTTTAGTGACATGTCACTGCACACAGAAAGAAAGGAAGGTGAGAAAGAAAGGAAGAAAGAAAGGAGGCAAAAAAGATTACAAAGAAAAGAAAATAAGGTGAAACCATAAATTACATTACAAGAATGCACCAAATACATAGCAGAAGAATACAGGAATGGAGAAGAAAGCTAAGAAGGAATATGTATCTACAAACTAGCAAAGAAAGGATGGAGAGAAGCAGATGAGAAGACCAACACACACCGAAATTACCTCTAGATGCGGAATGGAGCAGGAGCCTAAAAACATCCGGCTTGGGGAGAGCATCACATCGGGCGCTGGTGTCCCTAATTAGTTCTGATCCCTCCAGTTTGATGATGCCCACCGCGGTGCCGAAGGCAACGAAGGATCAACCAGCAGGGGTAAGGAAGAGAAAAGGAAAGAAAGAGAAGGGAAAGGGGAGTAAACGATAGGGCATGACAAGGCAAGGATGAAAAGAGAACAAAGAGAAGAAAGAAAAAAGACAAATAAAACAGAAAGAAAAAAAAAACCAAGAAGAGTCAACGGAGAAACTAGAGAAGGCTAAGTAAGGAAGACAAGACAAGAACGAAAGAAGAAGAAGGAAAGACAAAAGAGACAAAGAAAGAAATTCGACAACGGTAGTAAGAAAAGTCAGAGGAGATGGCCATCCGCGGGGCGGCAGCGCAGTCGAGGATGCGAAGCGTGTGCGGCGGCGGAGCAGCGCACGGTGTCGCTGCAGGCTCAGGAACGGCTCCGTGTGGGCGGCTCCGCCCCGGTGCGGCGGAGAGCCCGGCTGTGAGCGCGGGGGGGCGGCGCGGGCCGGGCAGCAGAGCCGGTGCGTGCGGGCGGCGGCGGGGAGCCGTGCGGGGCCCGGGCCGGGGCCGGCAGCCACAGCGGCGGCGGCGGCGGCGGCGGCGGCCGGGAGGATGGGCGAGCGCTGTTGTGCGGCGGTGCTGCGGGTGCTGGTGCTGCTGCAGGCGGCCTGGGCGCTGGCGGGCGGGCAGGTGCGCTACTCGGTGCCGGAGGAAGCCAAGGCCGGCACGGTGGTGGGCCGTCTGGCGCAGGACCTGGGCCTGGAGGCGGGCGAGGCGGAGGCGCGGCGGCTGCGGCTGGTGGCGCAGGGCCGGCGGGCGAGCGTGGAGGTGAGCGGGGCGAGCGGCGCGCTGCTGGTGAGCTCGCGGCTCGACCGGGAGGAGCTGTGCGGCAAGAGCGCGCCGTGCGCGCTGCGCCTGGAGGTGCTGCTGGAGCGGCCGCTGCGCGTCTTCCATGTGCAGCTGGAGGTCACCGACATCAACGACAATGCCCCCGTCTTCCCCGCCGCCCGCAAAAACCTCAGCATCGCGGAATCGTCTGTGCCGGGGTCTCGTTTCCCGCTGGAGGGCGCGTCGGATGCGGATATCGGAGCGAATGCTTTCAATGAAAAGAACCAAAAAAAAAAAAACAAAAAAAAAAGGAAGGGAAAGACACAGGAGCAAAACACTGCCGACATATTACCGTGAGGAAGCGGAGGCAGAGGCGCTGTCGCTGTCGCGTGTGCGGCGGCGGAGCAGCGCACGGTGTCGCTGCAGGCTCCGGAACGGCTCCGTGTGGGCGGCTCCGCCCCGGTGCGGCGGAGAGCCCGGCTGTGAGCGCGGGGGGGCGGCGCGGGCCGGGCAGCAGAGCCGGTGCGTGCGGGCGGCGGCGGGGAGCCGTGCGGGGCCCGGGCCGGGGCCGGCAGCCACAGCGGCGGCGGCGGCGGCGGCAGGGAGGATGGGCGAGCGCTGTTGTGCGGCGGTGCTGCGGGTGCTGGTGCTGCTGCAGGCGGCCTGGGCGCTGGCGGGCGGGCAGGTGCGCTACTCGGTGCCGGAGGAAGCCAAGGCCGGCACGGTGGTGGGCCGTCTGGCGCAGGACCTGGGCCTGGAGGCGGGCGAGGCGGAGGCGCGGCGGCTGCGGCTGGTGGCGCAGGGCCGGCGGGCGAGCGTGGAGGTGAGCGGGGCGAGCGGCGCGCTGCTGGTGAGCTCGCGGCTCGACCGGGAGGAGCTGTGCGGCAAGAGCGCGCCGTGCGCGCTGCGCCTGGAGGTGCTGCTGGAGCGGCCGCTGCGCGTCTTCCATGTGCAGCTGGAGGTCACCGACATCAACGACAATGCCCCCGTCTTCCCCGCCGCCCGCAAAAACCTCAGTTTATCGGAGAACTCTCCTCCTGGGATCCGTTTCCCGCTGGAGGGCGCGACGGATGCAGATATCGGAGCGAATGCGCAGCTCTCTTACACACTCAGCCCCAGCGAGTATTTCTCTCTGGATTTACAAAAATCGTATGAGCGAAATATTGTACCCGAACTTGTATTAACGAAATCTCTGGACCGCGAGACGATTCCCGTGCACCGGTTGGTGCTGACAGCGAGTGACGGGGGCCGGCCGTCTCTGACGGGCACCATGGAGCTGGTGATCTCAGTTTTGGATGCGAACGACAACGCGCCCCAGTTCAACCAGTCAGTGTATAAAGTGCAGCTGCCGGAGAACTCTACTGAGGGGACGCTCTTGGCACGAGTGAACGCGACGGATGTGGATGAGGGAATTAACAGTGAAATGATTTATACTGCAACCAGCTTCATTCCCCCGAGTGGAAAAGATGTGGTTTCTGTCAACCCGAACACTGGTGAGCTTCACCTCACAGCAGCCCTGGACTTCGAAGAAGTCAGTGTATTTGAGTTTCGTATTGAAGCGACAGACCAAGGGACACCCCCTCTGTCGGGCCATTGCCGATCGTCGTCGTCGTCGCTGTCGCGCTCGGCCGTGGGCGTGGAGCTGGGGCCCGGGGCGGCGAGCGCGGCCACCAACGTGTGGCTGGTGGTGGCCATCTGCGCCGTGTCCAGCCTGTTCCTGCTGGCCGTGGTGCTGTACGGGGCGTCGCGCTGGGCGCCGCGGGCGGCCGTGCTCTCGGGGCCCGGCCCCACGACGCTCGTGTGCGCCAGCGAAGTGGGCAGCTGGTCGTACTCGCAGCGCCACAGCCGCAGCCTGTGCGTGGCGGACGGCGCCGCCAAGAGCGACCTCATGGTTTTCAGCCCCAACTTCCCTCCGCCGCCGCCGCCCGGCCCCGCGCCCAAGGACACGCAGCCGGAGCCCTCCGCTCTCCTCGGCACGGTCAGTGGTCCTTCCTGCATGGTTTTTTCTGCCCCTTTTCATCCGCCCTCTTGAGAAGCTGCTGTTTGAAGCCGGGTTCCCTTTCCACGGCTTAGGGATCTTGGATACTTAGCGGGTCCTTGAGAATGACAATGGCACGTTTGCATCTGTCCCGGAGATCTTGCTGGAAGCCCCAGCTCTTTCTCGGGTGGGTCAAGAATATGAATAAGGCAGCATCCTCGAGAAGTTATTTTAGGCAGGTGCGGTTTGGTCCTCTAAACCTGAGTTGTTCTATTCTAGAATTAAATTACTGTTCTATGCGACAAGAGATGGCCGGAGATGTGAGATTTGCAGACAGCAAGGGGTTCTGTTTTTTTTTGTGTGGCATTTCCACCCGAGTTGAGTGAAGGAGTTCAAGACAGCCAGGCTGTGTTCATGACAGTCTCGCAGGCACTGTATACGACCTCATTGCCTTTGCTGACTGATAATCGTGCTGATATTAATTTGTATTTTTATTGAAAACTGCTCTCCACTTTTTAATTATGGTCATGTGAAACTACGATGCAAAATGTTCTCTCAAAATATGCTAAAATTGTTACATAACTGATCAAGACTTAAAGGGGCTTTAAAAATGGAGATTTTCTCTTTTGTAATGAACAATCAAAATCCAAGAATCACCTTTCCCCACCAATTCTCTAGTAACACAGGCAGTACCAGGTATTAGAATAGTGCTCTTGCCACAGTTTTTTATCTTGAAGCACAAAATCCATGCTATTGCTGTTTAGAGGTTCCAGCATCAACTTTGAGAATTGTATTCCCCGTAAGGAAGCATTCCAAAACTTGAGGTGTCAGCAGCAGAGCATCTCTTATGCACTGTGTTGGTGATACCATCATCAACATGGATTTTTATGGAGTGTCATTGCTGGGTAGGATAAGCAACGTTCGTGTTGAACCTTGTGTTAGGAAAGGAAACTGTGATCTGTTGTATGGAGTAGGGCCTGGCCCTTGTCTGCTGGGAAGGGTGACCATGAGCTGCAGAAAGACTTGTGTGGGGAAAGGGAAAATCCTTGGGGACACCATGGATTGTGTCATAAGGAAATATCATGAGGTTCTATATTTCTCTTCATAACTCGTCTCAGAGAGAGGGAGCGAAGGATTCGTACAGGAAAGGGTGAGACAGGATGGGAGCAGAGTGTTCTTGTTGAGGATGCTTTCCTACTTCCTAAGGGTCTGGAGTGGGAGGCCCTGCTGAGAATGAGATGAGAGTGTGAAACTGAAATGCCCACGGTGTCCCTTGCAGTTTCGGGTCTCCCCAGCAGGGACTGTCTGTGCTGCTGCTGCCTGCCTGGTGGAGGCCACGAGTTGGAAAGTGTGGGAATCCTTAAAATGAGAGGGTTTTGGGAAAGCTGCAAAAGGCAGGCCTCAGAGACAACAGAACTGATATTTTGGCAGTGATCCTGTGTTTGGAACTAAATAATGCTGGGCCTGTGTGATGGGGAGGGTGAATTTGAGTGGGAAGGAGTGTTGCCCCAGGGAAAGGCAGATGCTGAGTAGAACAGGGCCTGCATCACAGTGGAGGAACTGGAGAATGTCTGGTTAGCTGTGGAGATATCATTTCCTATGCCTTGAGAAAATGCCCACCATGTAGTCCTTGCTCTTCTGGGATCCTCTCAGGACCTCCAGCAGTTCTCTGTACTCTTGCTTTCTGTTATTCCCTGTGATATTACAGCTTATGAAGTGACTTGCCATCCGTGCCTTTAATCACTTGTCTTTGATGTGGAATTTTCCTGGTAAAACAGAAGACTCTTTGAAACTTGTGTCTATCTGCCAGCCTTTCTTGGGACATGGCATCAGTCATCTCTCTGGTCTTGGTTTTCTAGCTGGCACTCAGGGACACTGTCCCTTAAAACAAGTACTCCTGGTCCTGGAGTTTCTTTTTCTGAAGAAGCAACCAGTGATGCTACAGGTGAGTTACTCCTACCAGAAGAGGCTGTGTGTGAGAGACAGGTGTACTTTTGTTCCTGTAATGCCTTAAGTTTTAGCTTTCATATTTTCCAGATTCTGTACTGCATTAGTATATAACTCTGAACTCTTATAAACTGTTAGCAAGTTCTCCTCAGAGCTCAGTCACACAAAACAATCCTTTTCCAGCCCCAGAACCAAAGACACCACTGCAGCTTCAGGCCCAAAAAGTACAAACAACAGGGAATTGTGGAGAGCAAACTGGGATGATGGGACTGCATAACCTGGAGCTGCAATTGGACAATTATCCCCAATTTGGAAATAGACCAAAACTTATAAATGTGTGGAAATTCATGACCCATTGTCCATCTTGGATGTACCTACGGCTGGGCTCTTGCACTGCACAAGGTGTATCCTGTGAAGGCCTTTTAAAAAAATTCCTACTTTATTCCTTTAGCACTGCTTAGCTTCTCTTTTCCAGGGAGCCTCTCAAGGCGTCACCTGTTCAGCTGTGGTATCTTTACATTGGATTGACTAAATATTGCCTGAATTGAAATTCCTGAAGGTTTGGAGCACATTATGTGCTCTCATTTGTTTCTGCTACTTCCTGGCTCAGAGTGAGAAGAGGGAAGGAAAGGCAGATGGAGAAGTGAGCTTAATGCTTTTCTAGGAGTAGATGTGCTAGGCATGCAGAGGATGCTTTCAGTGACAATGGCGTGGTGAATTTTGTAATAGCTCTGCAGGTGAAAAATGAGCCAGGCAGAATTGTTCTCCATCCAGGTAAAGGAGGAATGTGGTGTCATCATGCTTGTTTTGCAGTGTTCTTGGAGTATTGTCATGCTGGGCTCGGATGGGTTTGATCTTGTATATGAGAGACTCCTATGGGTCACTTGGACTCTGGAGCCTTTTTTCTATTAGATGTCTGCATGGGTGGACTCTTCTCTGATGTAACAAAGCTGTTCTTTACTATATGATTGCTTTGTGGATTTATTTCTGGGGTCCTGGAGATGACTGAAGGCTCCAAACGTGGGTTGGGTCCTGAAGGGAGAGGAAGCTGCAGGTGCATGGCAGTGGAGGAAAGCAAGAAGGCTGTTCCCTGTCATGAGGAATGAGAGGTGGAAGGGGAGTGCCCTTTTGCTAAAGGACATGTCTGTGCTTCATGACGTGATGGTGTAGCTATTTTATAAACATTTCCTTAAGGAATAAAAAACCAACAGAAGATACAAGGAAGGCAGCAACAGACCAGGGGAGGGAAGACTACACAACGAGGAGAGAAAGAAAAAGTAAAGAAATGTAAAAAAAAAAAAAAAAAAAAAAAAAAAAAAAAAAAAAAAAAAAAAAGATAAAACGAGAAAAAATAAAAGGACAACGAATAAGTGGAATAAAAGAAGCAACAGAAGGAATCACTGCAAGGAAGAGGAATGAGAACTTTATCCAAAGGACATGTTCACTGACAGTATTATATATACATTTGGAAAGAATATTAGTAAAGGAAATAGAAACACATAAGAAATAAGGAAAGAAAATGAGAAGGTGGATGTAAAAAGATGACAGTTAAGAGCATGAAGAAGACATAGGGAAAGAGAACCAGGAAATAGAAGGGAAGAGAGAAAAAAAAGGGAAGCAATAGCAGAAGAAAACGAATGAGAAAAGGATATAAGAAGGAAGGCGACTATAGAAGAAAAAAG